AATCTACTGAAGGTCATAGCGGACGACGTCCTTTAGCGGGTGCGTGGTCTGCCACGAGGTCGACACCAGTTTTCAGATGGTGGTTCGAACTTGTAGATGGCTTTAATAGGTGAACATCAGGTCGTCGCAGGACGTGACTGAACCTGCGAATGGTGTGTAGGACTTTCGGTTGAGTCCTATTTTGTTCGGCTGGAATGTGTCGAGTTCCTATTACAGAGGACACAGCTAAATCTCGCGTTCACCTCCCTCGCAGGAACCGACTATCCTGAACACCAGTCACTCACATGACCCACAAAGGCCCTTTAGGACATCAGTCAGATCTTTACTAAAGGGGGATAATTCGCTTCTGCATTGTTACAATATGAAAAATGCTGAAATGTGCTTGGTCGGACTAAGAAACATTTTTTAAAGCTCTTTTCCACGGGGATCTTAAGCTTATATTTACTTTCTAGATGAACAGGTATTACGTTGCGTGCATCATAATTTATCAATCTAGAATTTGTGAGTGGTAGAAACCAAGAACTGGTGATGGGTTGAAAAAGATTGCGTTGTTGTATCCATAGATTATAAGAAGAATAAAATTAACGTAATGTGTGCTGGTATAATATTTTTGAAACTGATAATACAATAATGAAACAATATAATCAAAACTCAACGGACCACTACGGAACATAACGAAGAAAACTGTAAAGTGTTTTTATCTTCTAAAAGCGAGTGAAATCTGTCTGTTACTTGAATTTGTATTGAATATATAGAATTTCAATTCCTGTAGTATGGAGCAGAGATAATACTCCATAGCACATCAGCAGTAATTTTTCTATATTGGCGATAATTCTCTGGCCTATGGCAAAAGTCATTAAGTAGAAAGTTTGACTCTGAGCGTCTAAAACACATGTTTGACATTACTAATGGTTGAAATATTCGCGCTTGTCTCACCCATCCCAGTGATTGGGGTTCAAGATAAAAAAAAAACAGCTACAGATTCCAATGCTGATTTTAGTTTGGTTTGGTTTTGTTTGTTTTACGGCATATCAACCTCAATGGGTTATTTGAAACCGACAAAATGTTTAGTTCTGGTAATATTTTTTTCTTCAAAAAATGTATAGCTGGTAATATTTTTTTTCAAAAATGTATTGCTGGTAATAATTTTTTTTTTACAAAGTATTTCTGGTATTAAGACCTCTTTTTACACTTACATAGTGATTTGACCCCAGCTTGGGGGCTTACCCATAGTTGGGACCCTAACAGGTGCTACCACTCCGGGTGAGGATGGACTTGGGAAAACCAGCAATTAAGAGGTGGTTCCACGCTCCTCAAAACCTCCTGATGAGAGGCCTTGCTGCTGGACGTAGTTTTTTCGTCTTGCCCAGGTCACGGATGTAGTTTACCGTCATACGCAGGACGGAATACTGATTTTAAAAGAAGGTAATCAGGCCTTCCTCTCTTGAGAATTTGGCAAAGTATATTGGACTTAATTTCCTCTTATTTTGTTTTGTGTCATGGTTTTGATTGACTGTTTTTGTTTAGCGGCATATCAACATCTCTATGGGTTATTAATGCCGAAATCTAAATATTTTGTATACAATTTTATTTTATTTTTGGGATAGTAATGGTTTAGTGATACAAGTCTTATTAATTAACCCATAGCTGGAGGAGAAGCTGTAGATTTATAACGTTCTAAAGGGAAATTGCGCGTAAGTGAATATAACGAAATGGAATTGGATCTCGGCTCTCCGATTCAAAATTCTGAGCTATTATCCATTACATCACCAAGACATCCAAACTTACAGCGCCTGGTATTCCGAAGCGGTTACCCATCTAGATACTGATCAGGTTCGACGTTGCTTCACTTTGGTGAGTCTACGGGTACCGGTGTTTCAAGGTGATGAGTGACTTCGAGTAAGTTTTTTGTTTGTCATATATGCAAGGTTTGTCCTTGTAGCTCCCTCCTGGGTATGGCGATAAACTACATCCAGCAGCAAGGCCTCTGATCGGGAGGTTTTAAGAAATGTGGGTCCCAGCTATGGGTAAATAGTGAACCCACAAACTGATGTCAAAACACTATGAAAGTATGAAAATAAATTTCCAGCAATAGATTTTAACAATTAATTTTTTTTTTACCAAAGCTTCAGAGGAAATTAATTCTGGCATTAAATGACCTACAAGGTGTTGATATGCCGTTAAAGAAACCAAACCAAACCAAACCAAACTAAACCAAAGCAAGGTTTGTAGGTCAGTCAGTAGCATATCTAACTGCCATCTTATTCGTTTATATTTGTGTTTGCTTTCAGATTTAAAGTGAATTAGAAATCTATCGAAATGACTATTCTGTGCGGGTAGCGTCATGGCTATCGGTGCAGAAATTGAAATCGCGTGAGCCGAGTTCAATTTTCCGCCTAATTTCTTACTTTCATTTTCGCGCAAATGATCTTGGGAAATTCATAAATATATCAATTATCTCTTAGCCATGGGTTAAATAGCAGTGTAGACTGGTCGCTCTAGCCTTTGGTGGAAGCACAACTCCGAATTCAACATTGTAAAGAGGGCAATGGGAAAACAGTCTATAATTTTTTCTCAAGAAGTTATGGCAATTCACAGATAAGAAAAAGAATCTGTGGGGAGTCTACGCCCTAAAGGGACGTGGCATAAGCAACAGAGAAAAAAGGAGTATGACAAAAATTCAAAATAAAGCTTCAAAGGAAAGAAGTTGATTTCATTCAAAATACAGCGATGCTATCATTGCAAACATGGTGCTGAATTATGTTTTTGCTATGATGATGTAATTCGATTCAACTCTATAAAATATCATAACTAGTGTTTAAGAAAGCGGCTAAGAGAGAAACACAAATGGGGAGTGAGGCAGTTAAAGAAAAATATAAAGAGAACGAGTGATATACACCTAGAATAAGAACGTGAGTACAGGGAGAAGAAAAAGACTTGATTTCAGTCAATTCCGACCGATATTTTACGACTGGGTTGATCCTATGTAGAAAAACAGATGGTCATAAAAGGAGCATTCACATTAATGAGAACCAAAACGACTGGTGGGATCTTTGTTGCATTGCGCATGCGTATGTTCATCCAGTGAGCTTAATGGCGCATTACTCGATCAAGACTTCAATTGGGTGTTGTTTTTTTTTTTTCACTTGTTTCTCTCAGTGGTGACCTTACATCAACCGTGAACAATTGAAGGGATAGTTAGAGCATGAAGCATGTGACTGTACGCATCTAAACTGACAATTTGTGCCAGAGCCGTGATACTCGTTACCACAAATCTTTCAAGAAAAAAAAACTGAAATTCTGATTTAAAATCAGAAAAAAAAACTTTTTTAATTAACAATTTACAATGTTATTTGTAAAATTTAAATATTTTCAACGATTAGCTCTTTTGATCTTTAAGAATTATTATTATTATTATTATTATTAAAGATATCAGAGTCCCTAAAGCTCAGCTTGCACCACAATGACAACCATTAACTGTTATTGCTATTAAAGATTTGCATCCTTTAGATTTTTGCTCAGACTACTAAGATAAACAAGTATGTATGTATTATTATAATTATTAAACGCGTTATAACGTCTCATCCTTTACAAGCTGTGTTGTGTCGCTAAGCTGTGGGTAGGAACTGAGATATGATCATTATCACCCGGCCGAAATATCGAAAAGTCGCAGAGGATATTAAATCAAATAATAGTAGTGGACCTTCTGATCAATATTGTCCCCCAGTTTAGACGTTGGGGTCTAAACCTCCGAATTGAAAGTTCTAAATCGAAAAAATCGGAATAAAGCCTTGTATCTCATCGCTTGAAAAGTCTGCATTGCTTGGCATTGCAAATATTCTGCGAAAATTCCTCTCTGTTAGAGAACCTACAACTTGATGGCGAACACCCATTATGCGTCTGCAGCATTTTGATGTGGTGTAATGATTAGCAAACGTGTTTCGCTAGAACAATTGTAATTGAGTAGTGAGTTCAATCCTCACTGGGTGCCCCGTCCTTTCGACCTTATGATACATCTAACCTACGCTTAGAAAATCACCACAGAGCCTTGCCTAGGGTGTTATGGTTTCAAGATCGTTAAATGTGCACGGATATGCAAGATTGGAGCAAACTAGAAGATGTTCCATAGTTTGTAATTGCCCGCATTGGCAGTTGAGATCAACATCGGTGGCGTATCTCTCATTTCTGAAGGTTGGCTCTACAGCGACTAACAGCTGTTCGAAAACGATTCAAACAGGACTAGAAGGGCCAGGCATCACTGGAATCAAGGAGGGAGTGATTCTGTAGGGCTGAGGCAGAGCCTGTGTTCCATGTAGTTAAGGTGGTTGCATATCATTTTAACAGATATATTTACCAAAATTATACAAAAAATATCTTGAAATACTAAAGAGTAAATTTATTCAATAAAATCACCATTGGCTTCAACCACGGCTTCCAGATGACTTCTGAATCTCCTGCAACTCTTCTGGACGTTTTTTTTTTTTTTTTGTTAAAGTTGGTAGATGCTGCCATAATCCTTGCCTTCAGTTCATCTTTGTTGTTGCAATGAGTTTGATGGTCTCTCGCTCAACTGCGTCCCACACATAATAATTAAGGGAGTTGGAGTCTGGGGAGTTGGGTGGCCAGATGTAAGGGGTGATGTGATTGCAGAAATTGTCTGACATCCATGTGTGCAACAGACTCCCGCGTGAGTACTTCCCTGAGCTCTTCAAACGTAACCTCTTCAGATCAAGGGTCAATTTTTATCTTTTCTTTTTATCCATATAATATTTTTTCAATTTCACCTTCATATCACTCACCTAATTCAGCTTTAAAACGTTGATTGAACACACTATTTTGAGTGGCTCTCGACACTTGTATTGGATAAAATTTAGCATATAACAAGTTTCTTGATAACAAGCCTGTTTCTCTATGCTTTCGTTTCATCTTCGTTATTTCCAACTCTATACACGTATTTAGTTTATTTCTTTCATCCAGTTTTTCTTTTTCTTTTTCTCTAGCTATTTTTTTTCCTCTTACTATTTTTCTTTCACACTTTCTTTTCTACCCATCCGCCACACTCTCACAGGTAGGATGCTATATATGTCTGCACGATTGAGCAAAGTAAAAAAAAACTACCCAGGCTCCGCAACATCTTAATTGTCTATCCTTCTATTAAATGATGGAAATGAAACTTCCAGGTTGGAACTCAAGGAAAAAAAACTCACCTTTTTTTGTCTTTTTCCTCGAGAATGAGGAACTGATGCTACATTAATTCCAGTCCAAAGGCCAGGCAGCTGCGCTCTGGTTCTGGATAAAGAAAAACGTACACGCAAACAGAATAATAATATAGATCTTTGAATGTATTTTACTGTAACGACCCACAAATAATCAGTAAATCCTATTTTATTACTGATGACACGTCTCTATAATACGAGGTCATGTAAAAAATATTCAGTTCTTTTTATTTATACAAGAAGCTACTGTACAGACGTTTAAAGCTAAACAAACCGCCATCCCAAGATTTGTATGTTTGAAACAGGTTAGAAAAACACGGAGAGCGTCGAAAAAGGCCCAGGCGAACAATGATTGTTTCAATACTTCCGACTGGGAAGTGCGTGACCTTTGCTTGTCGACGCCGGGTCAGTTCCGCTATTCAGCTCCCGTGGCTCGATGATCTTAACTGCAGAATAGCCAAAAGTCGATCATTGGTATTAGACGCAGCTTTCGTCGATTGCATTTTTTCTTTCTGTTTTCCTCTCGTAGTGCTTTATTTTTTATCTTGTAACGTCAGTTCGTTTTATAGCAGAGATATAATATTGTAAAAAGATCCATCTTAAAGCGGTTTCCCCCAGATATTTCAAGTAACACTTTTCCTTATTCTCCATTTGAACTGTTGTTTTTTTCCCACCTTGTGCTAAAATCAGTTCAGCAAACTGTGGCGCCTTTCTTACGATTCTAGTCGTCTGGCCCCGCCATTTTAATTCGCTTCTCATGTATTTTATCTTTGCGTTTCTTCAATCAACTTCCACTTTCACATTCTTCTTAACTTTTATAATTTTCTTAATTCCGTTATTGCATTTTATGCTCGTAATGTAACGGATAACAGCTCGGAATGAGAATTTGGAGAATCGAGTTCGAATTCTAGTCGAGTGCGTTAAATTCACTTACGAACAACTACCACTAGCAAAGGTATGAGTCTATCTCTTCTACACCCATGGGTTAAATAATAGGTCAGACAGATATCTCTGGTTACTAATTCGTCTGAGAAAAAGTCAACTCTGAATTTAAAACTGTACGTGGCCCTGGGGACCAAATCACGCAAGGCAAACCACCTCTGCCAGGCTTATGTGAAGATATCGGCAGCAAAATAATAGATTTGGTCAATGACAGAATCTAACAGACAGGATTTGTGGTATTGAACTGCAATAGTGTCATGCAAAAGATCCTTTGGTACTGGACAATGGATGAGACCTTCCAAGTATTCCGAGTCAAATGAGAAAATGTCGTTGAACATAGAGTAGCGTCTTGTGTTTCCAAATTTGATGACCCCTGGGGACAGTAATTACGGATGGCCTATTTAGTTAGTTGTTTTTCTTTCTCTCTTTCTTTTAAAATTCAGGCTCCTTATCATTGGTATATTTTTCATTTCCTGTTACCTTTAGTCTATTCCACCTTCTTTCTCTTTTTAATTCTTCTTCTCTCATCGCTTCATTTCTTCTTCTTCTTCTTCTTCTTCTTCTTCTTCTTCTTCTTCTTCTTCTCCTCGCCACCCATTCATGCCTATTTTTTTTTACTTAAGAGACATAACTTTTCTTTATGTATATACAAAACTCAAATAAACTATGAAGGTAAATCCAACTTTACACGATTAATTTGTCATTCGTTTATTAATTTAACAGGGATTAGGAAGGACAGTAAAAGATGTCAAATATTACTAAAAGTTATATATGACAATAATTTTGGAGAGCCATGATTTCCTACGTCACGAAGTGACACGGTGCCTAAAAGAAGAAATTTGAAATATGTTTCTTTTCACCAGATTTATTCATCTTTTCCAATGAAGTGATTCTGAGAGCATTAGAATTCCTACCAGGATTCATTAATGGTAGCCACAATTTTAACAACATTAGAAGAGCACTATATTGATAGAAGACACAGAAAGGAAACTACAAGAACGCCTACAGAGGGTAGTAAAAAGAAAGTGAGAAGAAAGGACTAACTATCAATTGTAAGAAGACAGAATGCTATGGTTATCAGCAAAAGGATGAGCCCAAAATGTGGATTAGAAATTGGAGATGCCAAAATCAAGCAAGTACAAAAATTGAAATATCTAGGAAGTCTTTTAACAAAGGACGAGAAAAACGGCAACAAAATTAAAACGCGTGTTGCGATAGCGAAAAATGCTTTCCAAAAGTAAAGCAAAGTTTTAAGAAACAGGAAAATCTCTTTAGAAAAAGAAAATAAAAGAATGCTTAGATGTTATGCAATATCAGTTCTCCTACATAGCAGTGAATGCTAGACAATCTCTTTACAGATGAAGAAGAGAATTGGGGAACATAAAGTAAAAGGATTCTGGGGACGCCACGAACTGAACATTTGAGAAACGTTGAAGTTTTAAATGAAAATGGAACCAAAAAGGAAACTTTGTACTAATCATCAGAAAGTAACAGTTGAAATTTCTAGGGCATACAAATTTGACACTATTAAAGGCTACAGAGACTAAAAAACAGTGAATAGCCCACCTAATGAGTTTTTATAAATGTTTGATAGAACAGGGTTTAGGAGAAATAGCAAAACGAAAAAAATTTCTTAAGAGCTACAAAGAACAGGAAACTGGGGTGAGCACTGATCGCCCATATCTTGAAAAGACACAACACATAGAAGAAAAATAACCGGGTAAACATGATATTCAATAAATTCCATAAATTTGAACTACGGCAGCACATAGAGAGGCAATCACTCATGCTGCTGTGGTATGGAAGAAACGAGATACGTAAACTAATATTTTCTGCACTGCCAGAAATGACTACTGCGATGGATCATGTTCATCGAATGAAGGATGGTCGCATACCAAAGGATATTGTATACGGTTAGCTGACCACGGGACAATGCGCAGCCGTGCGCTTTGCATTGCTTTGTAAGGATGTCTGCAAGTGAAATTAGCAGAGATTGATCCAGATAATTGGGAACAAGTGACGTCTAGCCGTTCGAGAAAGCAACAAGAGAGACGAGAACGAAGTGTACAACATCAGATGGGGGGGGATAGAAAACAACGCAAGACAACGAAATCAACACACCAGTTTCTGCGTACGAAACTGTCCTTCAAGAATTGAGTGTCTGAGTCACACAAGCGTTTGCTCTCGACGGGACAGATTCTAACCAACCAAAGTTCTCTCCATTATCTTACGAGATAGTTGCCAACAACAGTGTAGCACACAACCAAATTAGGGAAATTGGGAGTAAGTTTTTGTTGCATTAATCTTCATACTGGAAGGCTATATCTGCTTTGAAAATCAGCATTCGAGGTTCTGGATTTTTATCCAGATTTGAACGCCGACCACTGGCACCGAAAGCAGCCATCTAACCCACTTAGTAGGCCATGACTGCTTAACTATTGGCTCTTATGCAAGCATTTCTGGTTGTAAAGTAATAGCAATTATTATCTACAAGAAAGAAGCGTGAAAATTTCACAGTTTTTCTATTTTAATTTACTGATGAATATTAATTCATAAGTTAATGATTGAACAACCTTCCTCGTTGCGCGACGATACAATTCCCGTGGAAATTTCCAAATTGCAGCGTTAGATATTTGCGCTTAAATTTAAGAAAATATTGCAAGAACAATCATAAATATGAATGCAGGTCACAATTTAAAGAAGGGGGTAAAAATGAAAACTGACAATTTTTTTCCATTTCACTGATACAGAGGTTAAACACAGGACAGTATTAATCACTTCCGCCATCTTTTCTTTTCCCTTTCTTTCATTTTCTCACAGCGTCTTTGATATGTCTTTTCCGTCTTTCCGAGCGATCAAAACGGAATAGTCCATTATTTATGAGGTATTGGCAGGGTGTAATCTATGCGCTAATTTAATAACTAACCGAGGAACTAAAGAAGAAGCAAAATTATTATATAATGCGCTAAAATGAATTGTTAAAATGTTATAAAAATAGATAACACCTATGCAATCCGAGCATCCTAATGTTTCTATAAATCATGTAAGATTTAATTATATTTTGCATTTTTGGCTTTAATTAAGCGATGATAGTTTGAAATATTCTTTACTAAATGCGTAAAGAAATACAGTCCGGCCTATTTAATCCCATGGTCCGGCAGTTTTTGAATAAGACGCTATTAGTTCGTTCAGCGGATAACGAGTGCAGCGCCACATGTTTACATTTCCCAACAGCCGACAACAGCAGAATGTTTTGGTGATACAGCTCTGTTCATTTCTTATATAGAGCTGCATATTAGGATAGTAAGTATATATTAGCTTTTGGCTTTAATCTTTTTTTAGCCTTTGACTGAAAGTTCCATGGACGGAGCGAGGAAGCAAAAGGAACATTTTATACTCAAAATCAGGAAAAGACATTTGGAATTCCCTGTAAACATAATGAAGACGAAGAACTTGGAAAACTTAAACCCCGCGGGGCAATATTGAGAGTAAGGGAAATAGGCGAAGTTAGCGAGCCATTAATCTGATGAGCTTGTGTGAATCGATGGCGAAACGAGTGGCGGGGACATTAACAAGAAAATTGCTAAGAGGCACACGAGATAGAAAATTGTGTAGAGCCATGACTGCCAATATTCTGAAGAGACGCGGCATATAGAATAGAGAGAGAGAGAGAGAGAGAGAGAGAGAGAGAGAGATTACATAAAAAAATAAAAACCTTTTATTTCCTGTTTTTGTTCTACCTTTGATAACACAGCAATATATATGTGGAATGAGCTGGCATGACTGTTTACATGAGGTGTTTTCTGTCCTTCGGCATTTCTGTGACCTGCTCTCAAGGGTGTTGGACTGAAGAGGTGGATTGAAGAGGGTGGACTCTACTGCATAATTTTCTTTAAATATCTTACTGAAATATCTTATAACATACATACATATATATATATATATATATATATATATATATGTGTGTGTGTGTGTGTGTGTGTGTGTGTGTGTGTGTGTGTGTGTGTGTGTTATATGTTGTTACAAACACCCTTGAGCGCTTAGCCTTGGACCGGGTAGAATGGAGATCAACGTGTTTTAGTGGACTCAGCAGTTTTCAATCTGCTTGTCTGAATCGTCTTCAAGAAGCGAGAGCACGATCTAAAAGGTCAGCCAATCTAACAGTGATCTCATCTCACTCTTGCTCCATATGTGGCCTCCTTTGTAAATCACTAGCGGGTCTTAAGATTTACGCACAAAATTTCATAACTGAAAAAAATTAGCTGTTAGATCCTCATACGTCGAAACCGACGGGAGAGTCCATTATATATATATATATATATATATATATATATATATATATATATATATATATATATATATATATGAATTATCCACCTCTATGGAAGAGTTGGCTAACTTTGAAAAGGATATACTTGGTATGATAGACAATATTAAATTCACGAAAGTTAATAGTAATTTTCAAAAATTATTAACTACTGACGTAAAAAAAAAAATAAAATAAAATAACTAAAAACATTTTAGTTAAAGGAGACGAAACAAAGAATGCGGAAACTTACAAGAGAAAAAAAATGTGAAGAAGTCATTAAAACTTACAAAAAAGCCATACATAAAAAATAACATTACAGTCAAAATAAGTGTAAGTGATCAGGTCCACATATTATGCTATAAACAATCATTTTTAACGATAAAGGATCATAAAGATGACTTCTCCAATAATCCTTCACCGTTTAGCCAATACCTGCTTGATTTTACCACCGTTTAGCCAGTACCTGCTTGATTTTACCGCCGTTTAGTCAGTACCTGCTTGATTTTACCGCTGTTTAGCCAGTACTTGCTTGATTTTACCGCCGTTTAGCCAGTACTTGCTTGATTTTATCGTCCACAGTATATATAACAAAATCCTAATTTCTACATATATCATACATACATATATCGTTTCTATGTATATCATATACAGAGTGTCCCTATTACTATGAACGTTTATTTGTCCCATATCGAGATCGAAATTATATGATCATTATATGATAAATGTGGCATATGATAATTATAATTTTTAATGTTGGATATTTGAAATATCCAACAAGATATGTCAAATGACAAAGCCTAAATTTATCGAGGACCTTCTAAAAATAGCCGATTCCCTCGGATACTGCAAAAACAGGCTGCTGTTTCTATTTTGATGGAACAAGGAGGTGCTGTCTTGAAGACAGATACCCAGCAGTTAATTATTTGTTTCCGGCCACAAAAGGCCCGAAACACTGTTAGTTCAACAAGATACTGATATAAGCAGCTCTGTAAAACGACGATGCACCAGAGCGCGTTTAATAGAATCAGTTGCTCCAATGAACATTTGACATTTGGGTCTGGTTTTCTCAGTGTAAATAAAACCAAGTACAAAGAGCAGTAATGGTTCATGATTTAGCACAGCTTTATTAATGGTAAATGATTTGTGTCGACACAAAAAGATGTCAGTCTATCATTTGGGCGTATCAGGGTTTTCAAGGCAGCAAAAGGGAAATGAGTCTGGCGAATTATTTGGGTAGGAGACCACGCCTAAGCGTTTTCAGTTTCCGAAATTAAGGCATGCTTGATTATGAGTTGTAAGAAAGTAAATAGATAATGTTTCTTGGGTAATAAGT